CCTGTATTAATATTATTATCTGTAGTATTTATTATCAGTATATATTATTATAGTATTTATTATCAGTAGTACCATCATAATATACTAGACTATGTTATGACCCTACTGTTATTATCCAGTGAAGATTACCGCTGCTACTGCTACTGCTACTGCTGCTGATGATGATGATGTGTATGATTACATACGGTATATACGGGTGTGTGTGTGTGTGTGTGTGTGTGTGTGTGTGTGTGTGTGTGTGTGTGTGTGTGTGTGTGTGTGCGTGTGTGTGTATCAGTGGCGTATCTGGGGGGGGGCAAGGGAGGCACGTGCCCCGGGCGCGAATTTTTTTTTCCTACACGTTATATCCATTGCAGAGTTTTGGGCTCCTCTGATTGGCTGCATGCTTTGATTTGCTTTGACTTAACAAACATTCAAAACAAGGGAACAAACGCCATTTGTAAATATTTATTATGGTTTATGTTCCGTAGATAAGTAAGTTTTCTGATGTATATTCCATAAAAAACACACATTTTACTCATTAACATAAAATATAATATCACTATAATTACAATTATTTGTGTAAATGTGTTATTTTCATCGTTAACGTTAAGTTATGAGACGGTTTGGGCTTTCGTAACACTTACTACATACGTACGTTAGCTCTAGGAAACGGTAATGCTAGGGTTAGAATATTGTATATTGACGTTATAGTCACACAGCCTGCATGGTTGGGTTATACGTACGTATACGTACTTGTACTATAGTATAGCTAGCCCTTCGCTCCGTTGCAGGAGGAAGGAGCGAAGGGCTATAGTACTAGCGCTAACAAAAGTTTATTTACTTTTTGCTCAGTCTAGCGTCAACGAGAACGTGTAGCTCTAGTAGGCTACTAGTCTATAGCCCTTGGCTCCTTCCTCCTGCCTGCGACGGAGCGAAGGGCTACTCTATAGTACGAGTACGTATACGTACGTATCGTATGTAGTATTACGAGAGCCCATGCAGACCCTCTCATAACTTAATGTTAACGATGAAAATAACACATTTACACAAAGGATTGTAATTATAGTGATATTATATTTTATATTAATGAGTAAAATGTGTTTTTCATAGAAAATACATCAGAAAACTTACTTATATCTACCGATCATAAACTAAAACCAATTTTTACAAATGGCGTTTGTTCTCTTGTTTTGAATGTTTGTTGAGTCAAAGCAAATCAAAGCAGCTGTTGCGGACAATTCAGTTTATAAGGCAGATATTTGAGCCTGATATATTTCCCTTGCATTGCGGTAACATTGGAGCATTGTGCGCGCTAGCTGTGCGCCCTTGACGAGAGAGGGCGCTGGGTGGAGAGAGATTATGGGATGGTTTCCTGGAATCGCGAGGCGCACGTTTTGGAATTAGAACGAAATCAGAGTAGGCCTTATGCTAGGGGCACACGAGCGATTTTTATCGCCCGATCGCGGCGATTAAAATCGCCAGCGAATTTAATCGCCCGATCACGAAGGGGCACACGTAGCGAATTTAATCGCCCGATCACGAAGGGGCACACGTAGCGAATTTAATTGTCTAAAACTTTAATCAAATGTTGGTTCCTTACGTTATATATTCAAA